TCTCCCAGGACAGAGGATTTTTATAATCCAGATATAATTATGTATGTTTGGGAGACCCATTTGGTGCTTGACTTGAATGGAAGGCTGATACTTTGAATTAGTGAGCATTGATACTCACTGATAACCCGGAAGCACCATTTGTAGTAGCACCTGAAGGCATTAAGTTGGAGAAGTTGGAGAATGGAGACTGCCCTCTGGAGGGGGATGAGGTTTAGCTCTCAGAACAGAAGGAGCAGGGAGTAGCACAGTGTATGTGCCTTTTATTGACCATTCCTAGGGCTCTGCATATAGACTGGACTCTTTTTTTTTTTTCAATAGCTCACTTATGTATTTTATTTTTATTTATTTAAAAATTTTTTTGATTCGTTTTAATTGGTTATACATGATAGTGGAATGCATTTTGACACATTGTGGACTCTTTTTGTGCCAGGGATTGATCTCAGGGGTACTTAACTACTGAGCCGCATCCACAGCCTTTTTATTTTTCATTTTGAGATGGGGGTCTGAGGCTGGCTTCTAACTTGCAGTCCTCCTGCCTCAGTCTCTCAGTCTCTGGGATTGCAGATGTGCACCACTGCTCTTGGCTAGGCTAGATTCTTGAACCCAAGCTTCCATAGTTCTGAATTGGTCTCTTGATTCTCAACTCACTAGAGCAAGCAGATCCCTTTTTTTGGGTAATCAGGGAATGAACCCAGGGCACTATATCCCCAGCCCTTTTTAAGGTGGGCTAGCTCTGAATTTCCAATCTTCCTGCCTCAGCCTCCTGAGCTGCTGGGATTACAGGCGTGTGTCACTGAAGCCCTTTTTGTAACAAAAATTTGAGAGTCTGGAGTCTGAGAGTCAGTACTAGCCTAGGTACAGGTATTTTATTTGAATTAATCTTTCATTTTTTCCCCCTCCCTTCAGTACCAGGGATTGAACTTGGGAGAACTTGATCACTGAGCCACATCCCAGCTCTATTTTGTATTTTATTTAGAGACAGGGTCTCACTGAGTTGCTTAGCACCTTACTTTTGCTGAGGCTGTCTCAGCCTCCCAAGTCACTGGGATTACAGGTGTGCGCCACTGTGCCCGGCTGAGTTAATCCTACTTTCTTTAAGTACTAATAAACTGTTGGATGGAAATTTCAGGCTTCCCATTTAGTTCTTGTTCCATGTATACCCTATTCCCAGAAAGCTGCTTGCATAATCTGACATCGGAGACCAAAATTATTCTTGGACCAAAAGAGGCTTCCCTCTCTCTTACTTGAGCAAGAGACTCTTCCTGTTCTCTTATCAGACTTTGGTGAATACAGATCTCCTAGAAGGTGATAGCAAAAGAAAATGGAAAAATCATCTTGGGGGTCTCTCTTTGTCTGACTAGTCAGACTAGTCCAAGGTCCATTGCTAGTTTGTAATCTTTAGGAAAAGATGAAAGGCTATATTTTCTGCATAAGTGTGTGAATGAGTCAGTCTTTCTTTTTGCTTACCCAAAGGGGTAGAAGGCAGTTTTCATCAATCAAGCCTACCCTTTTATAGTTTAGCAGAATTAAACAATACTGAAGAGTCCAACTGAGGTTATTCTTTCAGATCTCTGAAAGATTGCCAGAGGAAGCAGCAGGTGTTGGGTTTTTGTTTTTTTTTTAATTTTAATGAAAATTTTAATTTTCTGCTAATAGTATAGTAATTTTTAATGTATAATTTTCTGTTCATGAATTACATTTATATGCATACTCATTGCCACTATTTCTAGAACTTTTCCATCATCCCTAAGAATCTGTAACTATTAATTAAAAAAAAAGGACTAAACATGGAATTCCTACATGACCCAGCAATTCTACTCCTAGGGAATATACCTAAAAAGAAAAATGACTCAGATACTTGCACAAGGTGAAAAACAACCCAAATGAATGGACAAATGATGAAACTATTTATGAAGGTTTTTTTTTTTTTTTTTCTGTTTTGTTTTTCAGTGCTACAGATTAAACCCAGGACCTTGTACATTCTTATCGTTGAACTACTTAGTCCTGTTTATTTTTATTTTTATTTTATTTTATTTTTTTTTTAATTTTTATTTATTTTTATTGTTTAATTTTCGGCGGTCACAACATCTTTGTGTGTATGTGGTGCTGAGGATCGAACCCGGGCCGCACGCATACCAGGCGAGCGTGCTACCGCTTGAGCCACATCCCCAGCCCCTCCTGTTTATTTTTAAACAGGTCTCATTAATTGCCCAGTATGACTTTGAACTTGTTGTCCTCCTGCCTCAGGCTTCAAGTAGCTGGGATTATAGGCCAGTTCAGGGGGCCTGAACCTAGGAGTGCTTAACCGTTGACCCATATCCCCAGCCCTTTTATTTTTTGAGACAGGGTCCCCCTAAGTTGCTTCGGGTCTGGCTAAGTTGCTGAGGCTGGCCTTGAACTTTTGATCCTCTTCAGCCTCCTGAGTTTCTGGTGTTACAGGTGTGTGCCACTACACCTGACTTGAGCTTTAGTACCAGGAATTAAACCCAGTGGTGCCTAACTGCTGAGCCACATCCCTTGGTCTTTTATTTTATTTTATTTTTTTAGAGAGAGAGAGGGAGAAAGAGAATTTTTTAATATTTATTTTTTAGTTTTTCGGCGAACACAACATCTTTGTTTGTACACAACATCTTTGTTTTGTATGTGGTGCTGAGGATCAAACCCCGGCCGGACGCATGCCAGGCGAGCGCGCTAACCGCTTGGGCCAGATCCCCAGCCCCATTGGGCTTTTATTTTGATCCTTCTCCCTCAGCCTCCTGAGTTGCTGGGATAACAGGCATGTGCCACCATACCCGATTTTAAACTTCTTTTAAAAAGAAATATTTGAGCTGGGCGCTGTGGTATACACCTGTAATCCCAGTGATTTGGTAAGCTGAGGCAGAAAGAATCTGAGTTTGAGGGTAATCTGAACAACACAGTGAGATCCTGCCTCAGGATAGAAAATAAAAAGGGTTGGGGATGTAACATGGTGTTAGAATGTCCCTAGGTTCATTCTCCAGTAAGGGAAGAGGGAAAAAAATATTTGAAGCATACATAAAATTATGCAGAGCATGATGAATACCTATTTACGTACTATTTACCATTCACAGATCTTTGTTTTGCCACTTTTTTTTAAAGACAGATTAGATTTAGAAGCATACTTGAGGTGTTACATTAATTTCTTTAACTTTCAGGTGCTTCATGAATGAATTAGGTAAAATAGTATGTTAGCACTGTGGTGAGGATTCAGTTATATTAATATTTGTACATAATTAGCCTTAAACTAGAAGGCTCAATGACAGATTGCAGGTAAGTTTTCTATTGCCTGTGTGTTTAGACTCCATAGGGCTCTGGTTTTGAGGCAATTTCTTGTCCTTGGGAGGAGGGTAGTATATACCACTGAGTAGTTAATTAATTAGTGCTACCTTTCTTTTGCAGTGTGCCCTGCTGGCTGGAAGCCTGGCAGTGATACCATCAAGCCTGATGTCCAAAGAAGCAAAGAATATTTCTCCAAGCAGAAGTGATTGCTGGGCCATCTTAGTACCAGGCTGCAGTGGGCACCCATGAGAACAAAATCTCTTTTGTATTTTCTTCATGCTTAAGACATATAACTTTCCTATAGGGTTGGGGAGACCAGCCTTTCTTCTGTTGGTGGGAATGGCCTGAGCTATACTGTGGGGATGGTCATCTGATGTATATTATGGATCAGTAGTGGGGCATCAGCCCATTGATCCTTTGTAGTTTCTATTAAACTTGAACTGAGACCTGATGATTCTTCATTTTAGAGGAGATACTAATCTTTGATTTTTTTAAAAAAATATTTTTATTAGTTATAGATGGACATAATGCCTTTATTTTTTATATGGTGCTGAGAATCAAACCCAGTGCCTCACACATGCTAGGCAAGTACTCCACCACTAAGCCACAAACCCAGCCCCTAATCTTTGATTTTTAAGAATAATTTATATATTTGTTGGCTTTCCTTCTTCAGGGGAAAAATAGGGAGAGCTGCCTTAAAAGTATATTGAGAGGAAATACAGGTAGACCCAGTAAATTGAACCAAGTGTACATTTTGTTTTAGTACATCTGGGGGAGAAAAATGGGCTCTGTGATAGTATTTGCCCAGGGCACTGTAAGTTGGGTTGAAGGTTATGTTCCCAATTTACAGAGAGGGCTGTCTGGGAATCAGAAGTTTGGCCTCTCTCTAAAAATGCCTGTTTACCTGCATTGTAGGCCTAGGTCCCTTTGGAAGTCAAAGGGGGAGAGGAAAACAAAACACATGGCTGGTGGCCTTGGGTAGGGCTTATAATAACAGAAATAGTGATCACTTCACCTTCCCTGGTTTCTAGCCATGATATAGGGCAGTAATTATTATTTTTGGGGGGTACTAGGGATTGAACTCGGCATTCAACCACTGAGCCACATCCCCAGCTCTATTTTATGTTTTATTTAGAGACAGGGTCTCACTGAATTGCTTAGTGCCTTTCTGTTGCTGAGGCTGGGTTTGAACTCCTGATCCTCTTGTCTTATTAGTCTCCTGAGCCACTGGAGCTGCATGCTTACATCACCACACCCAACTAAGGTAGCCTTTTTTTTTTTTTTAAATATGTTGTAGTTGAACACAATACCTTTATTTTATTTTTATGTGGTGCTGAATCCAGCCCCTAGGGTAGTCTTTTTTTTTGAGAGAAAAAGATTTTTTTAAAATATTTTTATTTTTTAGTTTTCGGCAGACACAACATCTTTGTATGTGGTGCTGAGGATCGAACCCGGGCCGCACGCATGCCCGGCGACCATTACCTCTTGAGCCACATCCCCAGCCCTACGGTAGTCATTTTTGACCCTCACTGTATAATTGCCCTAAGGGAAACTTAGAAGTTAGGTTTCTTCTAGGCCCTTCAGGTTAGGGCAGATTCATTATTGAGAATCCTATCTAAGTGTCTTACCACCACCCCTTCAAAACTGACTGGATCTGTGAACAGGATTCCTAGCGCCTTCAATAAATATCAACATACCATTTATTATATGCCAGACATTTATTTAATCCCCACAACCCTATGAGGGTACTATTTGGGGATGACTTCCTTGGAGCACACCATAGAAATGGGGCAAGAATCCCATACTCAAGGCTAAGTGCAGATTTGCCTTAACCAAATCTTAATTATTATTGAAAATCTGGACCAAGAAATGGTCATCTTGTACCCCAAATAAAATCTTACTTTTGCCAAAGTCCTAGCAAGTACCACTATAAATGGGATTCCACAGAATAGGGAAGGTATCAAGGGCCAGGGGATACAGGTGGTGAGATGCTGGGGCTGAGCCAGCTCCGTGCACTGCTGGGAATCTGGGACTTCTTTGTGAGTGTTGTAAAGGGAAACTCAGGGAATATAGGGCTAGGCTCTTCTTTGGTCTGGGCCAAACCTAATAGGGCTAAGCGTTGGGCAGGTGGGGTGGAAAAATAGGTTTTTTGTTCTTCTGAGTAACGCTCTTGGGGTGTTACAGCATCCCGGTAAGTCCAATCACGCCAATGGAAATTGAAGCCTTCAAGCAGGGTAATTCGGGCAGCTCTAGAAGGTACACAGTCAGGGGGCTTTTTCCGTGGCAGATCTGGAGTCTCTGTCCCTGGCAGCAGCACGACACCACGGATGGCAAACCAGCCCCCAAATCGGGGGTGTATGCACACACCTGCTATGTGCTGGGGAGTGAATGAAGAAAAGCAAGGTTATGGAGGTCACCTTGGCCCAAGTACCACCATTCTAAGCTATCCTTGTTCACTTATTTCCCACTAAGTGTACACCCGATGCCAATGCCAATTGTAAAACTGTCCCTCTCTTGTGGACAACCCTTCATAAACTCTTATGAAGAGTATGAGTATGAGGAAGAGCTCCCTTAGGCTAAGGCTCAGTCAACTTCCTAGTCTTATCACTGGTGTCCTGATCATTATGTTGCCTCTTCTATCCTGAGATAGCCTTGTAAGAGACAAGTTTTAAAAACAGACCAGATTTTCTGCTCTGAAACATGCCCAGGTAAACTCTAGAAAATCATAGGGCTGGCCCATGGGCCAGGACATAGCTGCTTTGTGTCAAGGAAGGCAGAGGAATATGGAACTGGATAAGGATATGAGGGCCTTGCCATTTTCTTTCACACTTGCTCTCTGACCTGAGTTCCCCATGGGTCAGCTTCCACATCTTGGCGTTGGTAGTAATAAGCAGCTCCTGCCACATGGGCTGCTGTCTGGGCCAGAATCTTAGGGCGCCGGTTGGGGTATACCTCGTAGTCAGCAATGACTTCCATCTGCAGCTCTGGGAGGCTCTGGGACAGAATTAAGAGGCTCCTGTCAGCATGAGGGGAGTTGTGATTTTATCCCAGGAAGCCCTAATTTGTGTGTTAACACCGTCCTGTCCATGTCTAGAAAAGAAAATGAGCTTAACCTGGGAGGCTCCAAAGTTGGAAAGTTACAGTTCTTTCCAAACAGGGCCCGTATATATACATAATACAAGGACTTGCTCAGAAAGTCTCCATTGTGAGGAGTGATTTAGCATTGCGCTTCAGACTATCAGTGTAGGGAGATCTACTATGTGTACAAATGTATGTGTATATGAAAGTTTATGGGGCTGGGGATGTGGATCAAGCAGTGGCGCACTTGCCTGGTATGCGCGGGGCACTGGGTTCGATCCTCAGCACCACATAAAAAGAAAATAAAGATGTTGTGTACACCGAAAACTAAAAAAAAATTCATTCTCTCTCTCTCTCTCTCTCTCTCTCTAAAAAAAAAAGAAAGTTTATGGCGGGGATATATTCTGTCTTCAGAAGGCCCCCAAAACTGCATAAAGCATAAAGGTCAAAGGCAGACAAGAAATGGAGGATGTTGGGCTCATCCTTATTCCACATAGAGGCTAAGCCTGGACTGACGTTCATATAGTTATCCCCCAATGCAGGGTGAATGGACAGACTTCAGACTGGGGGTCTGGTAAAGGAAGGTGGTAAAACCTGGATATGAAAAGGAGAAATCATAGAATGTCAAGGCTGGTTTTAGGATATCATTTCACATGTGAGGTGGATCCTAGCCCTAGGTTCAGATCCTGTGCTAAGTTTGGAGAAAGTGGGAGCAAGGTTAAGTTTGGGAGCTGGGGCGAAAGTTGACGTTTGCTCACCTGTCTAACACGTCTCAGGTGGTAGGCCACACACTGATCCACAGGGTCAGTTAGTGATTGGAGGTGGTGGCTCTGCAAGAAGGGCTTGAGGGCCTGGTCAAACATGGCCGGTGTGCTGAGTACCAAGAAGGCCAGGGTAGGTCCTGGCAGGGGCAGGTGGAAGGCTGGAGGCAGGAGTTCATTGTACCATGCCACCTAAAACAGAGAAAGTTCAGGCTAGGCTGGCCAGCTGACTAACCTTAGCCAGCCCTTACCTCACCAAGTATTCAAAGCCTTATACATTTTGCTCCATCCTCCAACTCCTTCAATAAATTTTCACTGATGCTGTGTAATTGTACATTACATTGTATAGGCATCTCATGTGACTTTGACAGGGACTTATTTATTTGGTACTGGGGATTGAACGCAGGGATGCTTAACCCCTGAGCTATACCCCCAGTCCTTAAAATTAATTAAATACCAGAGATTTAACCCAGGGATGCTTAACCACTAAGCTACATCTTCAGCCCTTTTTATTTTTTGAGACTGGATCTTGCTAAGTTGCTTAGGTACTTGTTAAATTGCTGAGGCTGGCCTAGAACTTGAGATCCTCCTACCTCAGCCTCCCAAATTGCAGGGATTACAGGTGTGCACCACAGTGCCTAGTTAAAGAAGGTAAAGAAGGTCACAACCGTAACAGAGGATGGTTATGATTGAAGAGTAAAATGACATCAGTTTTAGTGAGATCTGGCTGCAATGTAGAGGCAAGATGACAGCAAGAAGGCTATTAAAAGTAATCCAAATAAGAAATGGTGGCTTAGATCAGTGGAATGGAAAACAACGGACTTGGGAGACTCAGGAGATGAAGGAATTGGTGGTTGATTGGATGTTGGGGTGACAAGGTGAGCAACAGCTTAGGTTGGTTGTCAGGCCTACAGCTGGCTCTGTTCAGTACAATATTCCCCACTACCTAGGTCTACCTGGTTTGCCAGAACATTCTCACTGTGCCCCCACACATGCCATCCATCACTACACTACCTCCATGCTTTTACACAAGTTTGTATATTAGATGTACACAATCCTCCTTCCTTCCAATATATCTGTTCATATATAGCTCTTTTTTTTTCCCTTGCAGTGCCTATGATTGAGCCCAGGGCCTTATGCATGGTAGGCAAGTGCTCTTCACTGAGCTATATCCCCAGCCCTCAATTTCATTTTTTTCTGGCCAATCCTTTCTCAAGACAGACCCAACCTATTTTATTTATTTATTTATATATATATATATATATATATATATATATCTTTCCCTCAACACTGTTGTAGACCTCTCAGTGGAATTAGTGGGAAGTAAGCTGCCTCTTAAGCATCAGGCAAATGGCTCAAGCAGAGTTACCTTATGTGTCTTTAACATTGTGACTTAAGCAAGCTCAATGCACCAAGCACTAATGTGAGGAAAATGGACTTATATGTAGCTCCATGTGATGACAGATGCCGGTAATCCCAGCAACTCAGAAGACCAAGACAGAAGGATCACAAGTTCAAGGCCAGGTTGGGAAAATTAGACCATGTGTCAAAACAAGAATGTAAAAAAGCGTGGGGATGTAGCTCAGTGGTAGAATGCCCCTGGGTTCAATCTCCAGGGTCGGTCTATCTATCTGTATTATATAAAAATATATAATATATAAATAAAATAAATAAAGGAAAAAGAAAACACTTATGTAAAATGTGGGGGAAGGGAAGGTGGGGGTGAGAGACATCTGTGCCAGGCGAATGCACATAATTTCTATATCCAGCACCAATGGTTAGTAGCATCATGAATTATCCTTCTGTTGGAAGACAGAACAAAACAGCCTATTGTTTCTTGTTCAACACCAGGGAATGCCTTTCCCTCCTTGGCTGATCTAAATTATAATCATGCAAACCTTCCATGCCATGTCCTTTCCTAACTCCTTTAGGAAGCTTCTAAGGAGATTCCAGACCCACGGGTACATGTTTTCTCCTGTTAATTATGGTTACAGAATCTCATCCTTTAGTCCGGCATTATATCGGGGTAAAAGGACAAAAGTGTGACACACTGTTCCAGTCGTCAGATGGACACCGGGCCGGAGGAACTTGGGGAGGATAGTTAGGTTCTCGGGCCTCACGCCGACTCCACCAAGGCCAATCTTACACTTCTTCCTAGAACCGCAGGAGGGATAAACCAACCTGGAAGGGGTAAACCTCGAAGCCAAAAGGACACAACGTGTCCTCAATCTTCTGCTTCAGTTCTGCGACATGAGGCTCCATAGCTCACGCAACACGCTGAGCTTGCTGGAGAATGGAGTCTAAAGAATAATTGTGCCGTTAAGGTTCAAGGTAACTTGGACTTCATTTCCCAGGAGCTACTGGGACCAGTAGCGGCAGAATTGTATGCATCTCGGGATGCGTAGTTCGTTTGGTCCTTGGAGCGTACCGCTTCAGAGTCTGAAAAACTCGATGTCCCGACAAGCTTCACAGTGGGGGCGTGAACGCACTTGTCTTTCAGGGAAACGTAATTCAGCTGCTTAGGTAGCTAGTTGTCTCGGCTAGAGGCGTGGTGCAGCGGCGCCCATTCTGAAGCCATACATTCTCCGCCTACTGGAGGGTTTGAATCTAGCAGCGGCAACAGTCTCTGACAGGTTTGGCGTGATGGCTACAGGGTCCTGGAGCTGGAACCTGGATTTCGACCTAGATTTGGAGCCTTCTACTCCCACTTGATATCTGTGTATCAGGGTATTCCGTTTCCCCGAGAACGCTGTTTTCTTGCCAAGAGCCATACTCTTGGTCTGATATTGCCTCCCTATCCTTAGTATTGCATATTCACTCTCCTCCTTCCATCTAACGGTGTTGCCTTTCCTGGGCTGTTCCTCGGGTATCCCCTGCTGGAAGAGCAAGGGCAAGAGTGGTCTGGGAACCAGACCCCAGTCACTGGAAATGAGTAGGAGCCTGAGCTGGTCTGAACAGATTGATACGCTTTTGCGTGCAACTGATGGGCATGTGGACCGCATTAAGGTAAGTGGCACCAGAGGCTCCAATTGTTGTTCTTCTTCTTGTTCTTTTTTTTTTTTTTTTTTGGGGGGGGGGGTCAGATTAGACTACACCAAATTCATTGGCCTGTACAACTCTTTTGTAGCAGAGGCTGTATCCCCTTGGGGTCTCCACCTCAGGTAAGTATTGCCCCTTTCATTCATCAGCCTTTTCTCTTTCAAGATCTTCCTTCTTCCAGTGCCTGTACCATCACTATTTCTTCCAAATTCCAACTCTTTGCTTTTCTGAACTCTGTTATCCCACAAAGATTCTGTCCTTGTCCCTTATTCCCTTGGCAGGGGACCTGGCTGGATCCTGGTTTTCCTCTCATCACTTGTCTCCACAGTCAGAGGACCAAGCTCAACAGCCTTGGGCTCTAGAAACCCCCACCGTCCCAGAGAGACTAAACTGGGCTGAGACCTATAGCCCAACCTCTCTCTGGAATGAAGTTACTATTCTCCGATTGGAGGTTCAATCTCAGGCTCAGGTGAGTCTTGGAATCCTAGGTGTGTATATGTGGTATTTGTGTGGGAAAGTTTTTTATGCAGTAGTTCATATGCTTTTCTGCCTGGGTAGGTAACTAAGGCACTAAGGAAGACTGTTCAGAGATTGCTGGAAGAGCAAGAGCAACAGATGTCCAAGATCAGTGCTCTGGAAGGTATCAGTTCAATTCTTCATATACACAGATATTTTTTCCCCCAGCACTGGGGATTGGACCCAGGGCCCCTTGCTATGTATTAGGCAAGGACTCTTACCACTGAGTTAAACTCCCAGCTCCCCATATACACTGCTGTATATGTGTGCACATGATTTTGCTGCATACCTATTGTTTGTGCACATGTGTCATGATTTGCAAGAAGTGTCTAGACTTGTGTGAACCTCTCAGAGGAGCTAACCCTCAATTTGTACCACAACAGCATCACTAAGGTTGCTGCAGGGGGGCCCAGAAGGGCGAGCTCTTCTCCTGGAACAACACCTGGAGGGGCTGAGAAGGGAACTGCAAAGCCTTCAGAATCAGGTATGGGAGCAGGCCGAAGCCCAAGCCCAAATGAAAAAAATACCAGGAAACTACAGTTCTACCAGTGGCTTTCACCATGAGCTCCAAATTGAGTAAGTGATAGGCCTCACTTTCTTGAGTCCTCTGAACTCTTGGTATTCCAGGAGGCTTATTGCCTCCTCTTTCTTTTGGTTGACTGTAGAATGACTGCCATTACTTCTGTAGGCAGCAAATACTGTGGAAAGAGTCAGAGATTTTGCGAGAGGAACTGAAGTTGCTACGGAACCAGCTGAGTAAGTAAAAAAATTGTGGGTATAAGTTCCCTTGTCTCCCTTTTTGGAATGCCTTTTTTTCTCCCAGTAAGTGATCAAGCTCTACCTGTTTGACCTATTAAGAAATCTGACACTGGGTGCGGTGGCACCCACCTGTAACCCCAGCAGCTTGGGAAGCTGAGACAGGAGGATTGTGAATTCAAAGCCAGCCTCAGCAACGGGGAGGTGCTGAGCAACTCAGTGAGACCCTGTCTCTAAATAAAATACAAAATAGGGCTGGGGATGTGGCTCAGTGGTCTAGTGCCCCTGAGTTCAATCCCTGGTACCAAAAAAATAAAAGAGAGAGAGAGAGAGAGAGAGAGAGGGAGGGAGGAAGAGAGAAAGAGAGATAGATGCCAAAATATTTTGTTTTGTTCATTGCTTATCATGGTGTGAGTTTTGTCTATTCAGTCAGCTTGGAAGCTTCTAACATCTAGACCAGAATGCTTTTTGTCTTAGTTTTCAGTACCAGCTTGGTCATAAGACAGTGAAGGAGAAGGAAAAAATTAGAGACTACCCCCTTAAATTCTCTCTCATCTTCAGGCCAGCACCAGGAGCTGCTGCTGAAGCAGATGACTGAGGGGCAGCAGGCTCAAGCCCACAGCTGGAAGGTAGAACCAACATTAGACCTATCTCCACATATTTCCCCGTGGAGGCCCCATCTTTTTTCTGTTTGTCCTATTCTGCAGATAGGCCAGGATACCCTCTCCTACCAGCATCTTTATCTCTTTTTTTTTGCTGTGCTGATTCCACTTTCTCCAGAGCTCTTCTTTCCAATTCTTTTGCTATAAGCCACGAGAAACTGTCCTTGCTTATATGAAGGTTCCAAGTGTGCTAAAGAAGCCAATTGTGGGGAAGGGGTTTCTTTCTGGAGGAAGAAAGTTTGGTCCTAACTGGGCCCATGGTCTAGCAGATGTTGGAAAAGCTGCAAAGTGGGCAGGAGAACAAGAGTCACACCCTGGAGGCTGCCAGGACAGAGTCCCAGGATGCCCAGCAGGAGCATAATTTCCTCAGGTCAGGTGGTGTGGGTGCTGTGGCAGTGGAGGGGATTTGTCTCACAGAGGTCAGGCATTGGGGCCAAGTTCAGTTATTCTAAATTTGACCAGGACTGGTGGGGGCAGACTGAGTTTTTGGGTTGCAACCCATAAGGCATTCTTTATTTGATACAGAGCAGTGAGATACCTTTTTTTTTAATTAATTAATTTTTTTAGAAGTAGTTGGACATAATACCTTTATTTTATTTACTTATTTTTATGTGGTGCTGAGGATCGAACCCAGGGCCTCGCACGTGCTAGACGAGTGCTCTACCACTGAGTCACAACCCCAGCCTGGTGTGATATATCTTTATATATTTGGATAATAAAGGGGGAGGATCGGGTTGGGGTTGTGGCTCAGCGGTAGAGTGCTCGCCTGGCATGTGCAAGGCCCTGGGTTTGATCCACAGCACCACATAAAAATAAGTAAATAAAATAAAGGTATTAAAAAAAAAACTTAAAAAAAATAAAAGGGGAGGATTATGAAGTGCTGGCCTTAGGAAGTAGGATAGTTCTGTGCTGGGAGGATTATATCACCTCTGTCTCTGATTCTGTTCTTCTTTCCAGGACTTCCTTTGATGTCTTCCAATCTAAGCTGCCCCTGGCCTTCACCTTCACCAAGTCTCTTTGTTCAGCTAGCTCTGAAGTCAGTCTTCTAGACAGTAACAGTAACTGGGAACTTTTAAGGAAATTAGGTAAGGGTGAGGGAAGGGATCCTACTTCTGGGGTTGGCTGAATCTGAAGGGTGCCTGGATGTTTGGCACTGGGTAAAATCAAATCTGCCTTTTTCTTTGTGAATCCATCAACTTCTGTTTTATCTCAAATCAGTCCTGTATGTCCCTTTCCATCAGACAGGCCCAGGACTTAGTTCTGTGTACATAACAGTGCTTGCTGATTTGTTTTTCTCTTCTCTTTTCCTTTCTCCTAAATCTCCAGAGGAGCATCATTTTCAACCTGATGCTGAGCGTCTCTCAACTCCATGCTCAGGGAATCTTGAGCAAGCGAACCTATCCCTTCAGGGTCCCAAGATACTTCTGAGTGACTTGTAATGACTTTTTTGAGAATAGTGAGATGAAGGCTTTTTTTGCCCATCCTCCCCTCTTGTTCTGGGCAGCCTGCCAATCCCCTCTCGATCTAGTTGTATCTGACATTTCTAGTGAGGCTCCTCACTGTCTACCTGTCCCTGTCCCTAACTTCAATAAAATGGTTTAACTCTCCCTGATGTGTTTTATGTGAATCAGTACCCACATGGGATAGACTCAGCAATACCCTTTCTTCTTTCTGTTAGTTGTTTTCTGTGACCTTTTCCTCTGAAATCTGAGTTCACAGATGTTATAGCTATACTTTCTGAGTACAAACTGAGGTGAACTGGAAGGACATGGAAACTCCCATTCTGGTGAGCAGAAAGAGAAAGGACACTGCCCTGGGGCAGTAGTGCTATGGGGTTGCAGAGGAGGGTGATATTCTGGTGGGCCATGGACCTGTATCTGCTGCTGCTGCTTCTTTTTCTTCTCTCTTTCTTTTTGGTACTGGGGAGTGAACCTAGGGTACTACTTTAACACTAAGCTACATCTGTAGTCCTTTTTAGTTTTTATTTTGAGACAGGGTGTCATGAAGTTGCTGAGACTAGCCTAAAAATTGTGATCCCCCTGCTTCAGCTTCCCAAGGCACTGGGATTATAGGTTGCAGTACCATGTCTGGGCAGTATCTGCTTCTTGAGGCTTTCACCTTATCCTCAGCATTCCAGACTGCATTTCTTTTTTTTTTTTATATATTTATTTTTTAGTTTTCGGTGGACACAACATCTTTGTTTGTATGTGGTGCTGAGGATCGAACCCGAGCTACATGCATGCCAGGCGAGCACGCTACTGCTTGAGCCACATCCCCAGCCCCTCCAGACTTTATTTCTTCAATGGCCTTCTTCTTCCTGGTCTGTCAATTTGACTAAGTTAGTGGCCTACAGAATATTTTGATTGGACGTCAAGTAAGAAATAGTTTACATTGTGACCTAGTAAATATACATGTGCATATTTATTAACTGAAACAAAAATTTTATGATTCAATATTTTTTACACATTATTTATTTATTTATTTTTATGGTTCTGGGGTTCAAGCCTCATGCATTTTATTTTTTTAAATTTTATTATTATTTATTTATTTATTTATTTTTGAGAGAGAGAGAGAGAGAGCGTGTGTGCGCGAGATAATTTTTTTGTAATATTTACTTTTTAGTTTTCGGTGGACACAACATCTTTGTTTGTACGTGGTGCTGAGGATCGAACCCGGGCCACACGCATGGCAGGCGAGCGTGCTACCGCTTGAGCCACATCCCCAGCCCCCCTCATGCATTTTAAATAAACACTATCCTACTGGATTATACTCTAGCCCATTTTGAATAGGTTTCTTTTTTTAAAAAGTGCATTGTTGCTGGGTCTTGTGGTGTGCATGTAAAGGCCCAGTTTCTCAGGAGGCTGAGGCAGGTGGCCAGCTTGCACAATAAAGGCAATATAGCAAGATCCTGTCTCAAAAAAATCAAATCAAATAAAAATAAAACAAAATTTCTTGTGGATAATGATTCTGGTCCTTCTGCTGTATGGTTGCTCTCTGTAAAATATATTTTCCTAGGTGACTAAGGGCAACTTTACTTTTTTATTACCTGGGCTTTATGTTTTAGATAGTATAGTCCAAGGTTTCCTAAGAATCAGTGGCACCTCATCAAAGCCTCTTCCATTCCTAAATGTAGGCAAAAGACAATGTTATTCTTCCCCCAAGTGGATTTTTTTTTTTTTGATACTAGGGATTGAGCCCAGGGGTGTTTAACCACTAAGCCACTTCCCCAGTGCTTTTATTTTGAGACAAGCTCTTTCTAAGTTTCTTGGGGCCTCGCTCAGTTGCTGAGATTGGCTTTGAACTTGTAATCTTCCTGCCTCAACCTCCTAAGTTGCTGGGATTACAGGTGTGTGCCACCATGCTTGGTGGATGTTTTTTGAGAGCAGCTTCATTATGTATTTCCCTAAGCTAAAATGTGCAGTGGGTTTATGGAAAGGTCTCAACTCTTATCCCAGTGTAGGTTGAGAGAGGAGATAATTACTGATATAAAAGTATAATAAAAGGCTGAGGTAAGCCCATCATGTAATGTACATCTATAATCCCAGCAACTTGGGAGGTCAAAGCAGGAGAATCATGAATTGGAGGCCAGCCTCAGAAACTTAACAAGGCCCTCAGCAACTTAGTAAGACCCTGTCTCAAATAAATAAGTAAATAAACAAACAAACAAACAAATGAATAAAGCTGAGGATGTTGCTCAATGGTAAAGCTCCCCCACCTCGTTTCAATCACCAGTCCCTCCCCCCGACCATCAAAAAAAAAAAAAAAAAAAAAAGAAGCATGTAGGACAGAACTACTTCAGTTATATGTACATTCATGGCTTTGGCCTAACTAGCAGACAGGTCAACAGGGAGAGGGCCTTGGACATTTGAATAATTACAGGTCAGTCGTCCTCAGTTTTTTCCTCTCAGCATGGAGGAATTGCTGAGAGCAAAGTGATAGAGATAAACTTGACTCAGACTCAGCAGACCCAAATTAAAAAAACAAAAACTTCCCATCAAGCCTCACCTTCCTGCTGAAGCAAATGCAAAGAATCCCTGACCTTTACATCTTTCACTGGCAGGTGATTTATCTGGCATGATTACATTAACTCTGATTGCTACCAATACTCTATGCATCAAGCTCTGTAGGAGACAGGCTTGTAAAGTTGCCCATTTTCTCACAACAGAAATATTAAATAACAATGTGGAACAGTGGTATGTGAACTGTCACCAGGTGGCAGCACATGATTTGTTGCCAGGAGAATGATACTGAGACGGTTTTGGGCTAGAAGCACTGAATTGGGGTGATCTTTTTTTCTTTTCAGATTCTGTGAGCTACTAATTAATCTTACTAAAACAATGCCCTGTTCAGATCACACTACTGTTCAAGAATAGCTCTCACAGCATAAAAAACAAAGGACAAATTAGGAATTTAAACCCAACCCACGTTCAGCCTCTTTCCATTATTACCTGCTCTAAGCCTTCACCGAATCCAATCTTTTAGTATAGATGAATTTTCTTTTCAGTTTTTTTGTTTAGCTCTACTAATTTCTCTTACTATCTTAATTCGCTAATGCTAACCTATGCATCATTTTTTCCTTCTTACTATACTTAGATCCTGTAGGACGTCACGTTCATAAAACTTTTCCTTTCTCTGCCAACCCCAAAGCCGCGCCATTAAAGTTCCTTTTCAATTAGCTTTATCGATTACCGGTCTCTTCTGTCTTTTTGGCATTTTGATTGGCCCATCTTGTTTTTACTGTCCCGCCCCAGAGGCTCCTGGACTTGGATTTCCCCCAGGTATATTCTCCCCTCTTGGGTTCCGCCTTTCCAACACACTGCCTCTTCTGTTTTTACCTCCATTTCCTTTCTATTGGTTCCCTTCGTCCTCCAAGAGTTGGCGCCTAGGGCTGTTGATTGGCTTCTCTGGATGCCCATTGTGCCCGCCCTCATACCACGTGGCATTCCTAACGCTAATTGGGCAATTCCACTAGCTCCATTATTAAGGATTGGCGGTTGATTGGCTGCTCTGAGGGGGGGGCCCCCGAGTAGAGGGGCGTGGCCAGCCCAGGCACCTCCCCCAACCCCGTGCCCCAGGCGTTTCAGTCGCTCGCGGCTGGAGAGCTCGGTGGAGCTTCCAGCTGCCCTATGGGTCTCGCTTTTTGGGTCGTCCTGGCCCCGCCAAATAGGCGCGGGTAGACGCCCCGACTTCGGGGCCATGGCAGTAGCCTTCTCGTCCTCCGCCGCCGCTAGTTCAGCGGAGAAGCCCGCAACTGCGCGAAGGACCCCCACCGCCTCCGCGGGCTAAAAAGCCGCTGCCTCGACGGAATTGTGAGGACTACTATGCTCGGTCTTGGACGCTGCCTCCCCCTCCCGCCCGTGCAGATACCCTTCGGCTGCTCAGTCCGCCTCAGGTAAAGTCAGGAGATGCGTGAGACAGGAACCCGGGACTTCCCGGCCCGCGCGCGGGTGCTACCACTCCTCGGCCCCCGAGTATTGGCTCACGGGTCGCTTAGCACCCAACAGGACTCGGTGGCTTCCCAGAAGTCCTCCACACAGAACACTCCCCCTCTTGGTCCCTTCTCTTTCTGTTCTCGCCTCTCCCAGGTTCTCGGGACCGGCACCCCTTCTCTTATCAGAGGCCGGGAACCCATTAGAAATCATCGCATGTCAGAGACCTTCCTCAATTTTAAGATTCAGGAATCCTTCAATTCTTGGAAAACTGTTTGTGAAACCTCCAGCTCCGCAGTGGGAGCCTCCCTTAGAACCCATTCGTGCATCAAGTCTGGACTGCTTCACTGTACTTCCCTCAAACATGCTCTTCCCTCGAAATCGTCCACTTCTGCCTTCGAAAGATACTTCCCTCCCCTCAGATACCATTGTCACCCTCTTTCTCCCTTGTCGTCTTTGCTCTCCTTTTCCCTCCTCTGCTTTTTACCCTTCACTTTGAAGACTTTGGAGTAAGACACTATTCAGAGTTAGCCAGAAATGAAAGCTGGGGTTGTCCAATTAAAAAGCCTTTCAATTTATACCTCCGAGAAAAACTCGCTAAAGAATTGGGACTTTCTGTAGGCATGTGACATATTGAAGGTTTGTGACCAGAAGTTTGATGTGATTGAATTATCTCTGGTGAAAATTGTGCAGGAAGTATTCAAAGTGAAGACAGAAGGCCTAGGCAGAAAACTAATGTGCTAATCTGATGGGAGAGGATAAACTGGCATGGTGTGAGGAAAATGAGAATACCACCCAATACCAAGAGGTTTCAAAATAGAGTTGAGAGGGGTCTTTTTTGGCGAGGGAGTGAAGTTCTGATGTGGCTTATGGTATGAATTGGTGTCCTTAATAGAAATAGAGACTATAAAGAAGCAAGTCTAGCTGGGTGAGGTGCTGCTCACCTATAATCCAGCAACTTGGGAGACTGAGGCCAGAGATCACAGGTTCCAGGCCTCAGCAATTTAATGAGACCCTGTCTCAAAAAAAAAAAAAATAAAAATAAAAAAAGGAATGGTGAATTTGCTCACTGGGTGGAGTGCCATGGGTTCAATACCAAGTATTGCTATTAAAAAAAAAAAAAACAAAACTTTGAGTGAAGGCAGTGAATTGGTTTTTGGTTTTGGATGAGTTGTTTG